GAGTGCAATTTCACACTCCTTTGGAGAGCATTAACTAAGACATCCCATTGCTGCCCAGGGATCTCCCAGGGGGAACTCAATCCGGGCTGTGGGCAGGTCCCTGCAGGGGCAGCAGCTTCCTCTGCACATTTGAGGTGATAAAGCTGCTCTAACCCTGCACTCCAACTACTCCACAGCAATTTAGGACCTCTGAGGACAGTTCCCCACTGTTTCCACCCCAGCAGAGACCTGAACACGTCCTGTGGGCACTGTGTGACCACCCCTGGCATTAACACCCTGCAGGAATGAAGACACTGACTGTAAATACACTTGTCTACCTGTAAACCTCAACTTTCTTTGCTACTATACAGCAATAACATTTTCTATTCCTATTGCAGCTCCAGACTTAATAAATAGACTTGCACATATTGTGCTTTAGACATTAAAATGCATTCCAAAGTCAGGCAATGCTAAACAATGAAAGTCTTGAACCCTCCCCCCCAAACCAGCCCCACTTTCTGCTTTCAGAACCAGCCCACTTCCTCACTCTCTTCACAAAGGGAGAAACTCTCTCTTTCCACCTCTGAAACAAAAATTCCCTTCCCAAAAGTGATCAGAAAGAGTCTACTTAGGCACTACTGCAAATGGAAGTTGTCTAATAACCATTCCTTCTAACTCAAGAAGGGGAGGAGGTGAAGAAAGTCACGACAAATGTTTGGATTCCTTCCTTTTCAACGTCTTCTCTTCCCTATCTGACACTCTGGGACATGTGCAGGGGGATCAGCATCTCTTCAAAGATGGCTCCTTTCACATTAGAGCCCCTCAAATTGGCTTCCTAGAGGCTACAACCTGATAGGTCACAATTCAGAAGGGGAAAAGAAAAAGAAGTGTCAATGGAATGCAGCCAGAACTCTGTTCATAGCTTTACTTGAAGCACATTTACCTGAACTCCATTGTAGTCTGAAGCTGGGGAGCTCAGCCAAAAGCCAGCAATCCCCCAAAATACCAGCTGACTATGGGATAGAAAGGAATAGGATGGAAAATGAATCCCAATTCACTTCCAAATCAGTTCCTGCCAACGTTGCTCCCCCGAGGTTACAGTTCTTTAGTTTGGTGTTTCTCAGCGTTGCAACTCGGAGGTTAATTCCTGTCATCTGACTGCCCTCCATGGCCACTCCTTTCAGGTTGGCACCTGGAACACACACAGAAAGGAGTTCTGTGAGGAAAACCAGTCAGAAACACAGCAGCTCCACACTGGTGCTGCCTCAGAGCTGTGTGAATTGGAGGAGGACAAGGGGATTTAGGGCTGAGATGGTCACAGACTCAGTGCAGCCCTTGTGGGCCCTTCTCAGGGTTGGACAAACCACAGCTGGACCTTTTCTGGGCCATACAAATGCACAAACACAGGCTTCAGTTGGCACAGATTCACAAGGCAAAAGCTTCTTACCTTCCAGATGAGCTTTAAGGCCTGATGGGTCCTCAGAGTTGCAGCCTTTCAGGGACGCTCCCTCTGCATTGGAGCGCAGCATCTTCCCCCCTGGCAGGTTGGCACACTGGCACAGACAGGAGTCAGTGAGAGCCGGAAGAACAACACCAAAGACAATCAAGAAGACAGTTTTAATTTCTGGTCGGGGCCACCAAAGATGGGTGCTGAAGGAGAAAATGAGGCTACACACACAGAGTTCCATTGCAGGACTTGTCCACCCATCTTTCTGGTGTCCCCCTTTCATTGGGGTTCCTTTGGAAACAGCACCCGGTGTTTGTCTTTTAGTCCACCAGAATTCCCAGCATGGCCCCAAAGCAGTGCCCTGATCCCACATATTCCCCTCCCCTCATGTGCTGACTGTGTTCAGCCACCAGAGAAAAACACAGGCTGGTCATGCAGGCTGGTTCAAGTGCATTGTTGGAGAAACAACCTTCTCTCTCTCCAAGCACTCAGCCAAGGTCCATCCTCCCTTTGCATTCCCATGAACTCAGGGCAGGTGCAGAGTGACTCCGCTTGGTCCCACTTCTGCCCCTGTTTTGTTTGGACACGCAGAGTTCACGGCCAAGAGGGGCAGGACCCGGGCTGCTTGTCTTCGGGCTTGTCCCATGCGCTTCCAGAGGACTTGGAATATTGAAACCAGACAGATTCTGAAACACCTGCTCCTGGTGCTGCCACAGTGCCCATACAGTGGCACTGCAGGCCTGGCCTGCACTGAATGGCCAGTGCAGCAGGAGCTGTGGGTGCGGTAGCTGCTGGGATTGCTGCAGAGATGATCCAAGCAATCAGCCATCCACTGAGGATTTCTGGATTTCACAGTTTCCTTCATTCACTGTATCCTGCATCATCCTCCCAGCTTCTGCTTAGGTTCCCTGGGAGCCCCAGTTTGGCTCTTCTGCCATGGGAATTATTAATGATAGATGGAGGGTAGAAAGGTTTTGATCTGTGATACAACTAAAATAACAGGGATTACTTACAGGGATGTTAAGGGTATTGTCACTCACACGAATCACAGTGTCAGGTGTGGCCAAGAAGGGATCTGAGTGACAGGGACACACCATGGCTGAGTCATTAAGCCAGTCAGTAAGAATTCCCCCTAGAACAGTGTCTTCCCGATGGGACATCTGGGCAAGGCATGCTCTTCTCAGCATTCCCTGCCTCCTCCCGGGATTCTTGAGGGACAGCCTCTGGCAAGTCCGGGCCAAAGGAGACCTGCCACCACCCCGAGTCCTGGCAAGGGTGCTGCCCGTCTCCTGCCCCAAAGAACTGTGCCCGCGGGGGACTTCTCTGCCAGAGGGCAGCCAAAGCCAAGGGGCACTGAGGTCTGCCCTCTTGCAGGTGGCTGTTGGGAGCAGCAGCTGGAGCAATTGGTGGCATGACTTGGCATCTGTCAGAAGGCAGAAGCTGTTGTTCCTTCCTGGCATGATTTTTGGGTGGAAGTGATTACCAGCAGCACAAAACCACAGTGCTTACTTGCCTCCATCCCTGAAGCTCCGCCACATGAGGCCCTGCTTTGCTTCAGCTTCTGCTGCTTCTTCCTTTGTTGCCCTCAAGTGCTGGACGTAGAGTTTAGAAGCCCATGGCCGTGTTTTGAAGGTGCCTGCGTGGAGGAGAGGTTGAGCAGCTGCAGCCCGAGGCTGGTGTCCCAGCAGAGTCTCTAAGGATGGCACCAATGGCACTGGCTGGGGACAGCTGAGTGTGGAAGGCACGTCCAGCCTCAAGCAGGGCCATTGAAGTCAGTCAGGAGGACAGGCTGCAGCTGAAGCTGCCCAGGGTTGCTGTGAGGCTGGGGAGTCACTGGAAAGCTGTGGTGGCCACTTGGCCTCAAGCCTTTTGCCAAAGCGGGTGCAATTGTGCCCACAGTCTGGCCACTTTTGGCGTCCTGGCGGGTGTGGGTGCCTGGGTGAGGAGGCCCAGGCGTTGTGGGTGCTGCTGCTCCTGGGCAGCCTCTGGTGCTGTTGTGTGTGGGGCGCGGAGCCGCTTGGGCAGCAGCGAGTGCGCAGGCCTGCCCGAGGAGCCCAGCGCCCTGCCCGTGGTGGCAGCAGCTCTGCGGGCCCAGAGCTCTGGCTCAGGGGGGTGTCGGCCACAGCCCCGTGGCCTGGGCAGCCGCGGGGGCCCGGGCTGGCCGCCAGCCCTGCCCGTGCCACTGCCCCTGGCCGGCAGCACCTGGCAGACGTGCCCCGGCAGGGCCCCCTTGCCCTCCTTGTCCCCAGCCAGGCCAGCCTGGCCCCCTTGGGGCTGTGCCCACCCTGCTGCTGAGGCCTCCAGGGTTTCTGCCACAGGGCTGGGAGATGCCTCGGGAAAGCACCAGAGCAGCCGGCTGGCAGGGAAGGAGGTGGTTGCCTGGGGGCTGCCTATGGCCTCTGCCCCCCAAGTCCTGGGACCTTTTCCCTCCACCCTGCCCCTCGGGGACTCTGCCCAGTCTGTCCCCTCGCAGCCTTCTGCCACCCACCCCCTCCCAGATTCCCCTCAAGGCTTCCCGCTCCCTTGTCCCATCAGGGCCTCCGCAGCACCTCACCCCTTCCTGGCCTCCCAGCGCCCCCTCCCCTGCGGCTCTCCCCCAGCCCCGCCAACCTGCCCGGCAGCGGCGCAGCCCTGAAGGAGCTCCAGAGGAGCCGCTCCAGAGGCACTTGGGAGCCCGGAGCAATCCAGCCAGCAACACACAGGCAGGACACAGACGCTGCTTCCTGGCTGGGGGAGGGCTTGTGGCCATCTCCAAGGACAAGGTCCTCAGGGATCCCCACACCTCCAGCCTCTGCCCCTCCACTCTGCTGCAAGTGTTGAGGCTCCAGGAGAGCCACCAAAGGCCAAGGGGCTTCTGCTCACTTTTGCTGGCATGCTGCACAGCAGGGCAAGTGTTGCTGAGCACAAGGAGCCCTTTTCCCCTCTTCCCCGAGGCCCTGTGCACACTGGGCACCAAAAAAAAGCTCCTGGGCCTCTGTTTGTGATAACATGTTGGTTGTATTCCCATGCTGGGCTCAAAGGAGGTGCTTGCAGGGAAGAGGCATCTTCCCCACAGGCTCACGTGGCCCCAGGAGATGGAGCTTCCCTCATCAGTTCTCCACAGAGCTGCAGCAGCACAGGCAGACACTGCCCTGTGGAAAAGGCCGGGTCTTCCACGCCCTGCACAGCCAGTCTTGGAGCTGCTGGAATCTGGAGTAGGGAGCCGTCTGTACAGCTCTTTGCACGTAGCAGTGTTGAATTGCCAGGCCTGCCATGGTGAGTCTGATGTCATCCGTCACGCCTCTATGGGCTTGAAGAGGCAGGAATGGAGACTACCAGAATGGGAAGAATGGAGTTCTCCGTACAGCTCTGATGATGTGGAGCGTTTGAAGTGCCAGGTTTGAAACGGCAGGGCTGTCATCAGTCATGCCTTGAAGGGCTGGAAGAGAAAGGAAAGAGAGCCAAGGTGAGGCCAGGGGTGGGGGGACGCGAGGAGCCCCTCCTGGCCGGGCCATCCCAGGCAGCTCTTGCCATGGGCAGGAGGGAGCAGGGCCCAAGGGGATCAGCTGGAAGGTGCCTTCCCTCACCCTGGCAGATGAGCTGCAGCTCTGGCTGCTCCTGCTTCATGGACCTGGCGGCGATCCCTGGGAACACAGAGGCTGTCAGGGCCCCAGAGGCACAGGTCCCCCCCATGGGGACGCCCCAGGGCTGGGCTGGCCCAGGGCGGCAGCAGGCCCCAGGCCACTCGGGGCTCCACATGCCCTGGGCCGCATCCTGCTGCCGCTGCAGCAGCCGGGGCTGGGGCCGAGCTGCAGCGGGGCGGGGAGGGACCCCGGCCTTGTGGCTCACCCAGGAACTTGATGGCCAGCTTTCGCAGGGGCTCCTCTGGGCTCTCCAGGTACGGCAGGGCCTGGCGCACGTACTGGCCCACTCGGCTCCTGTCCTTTTCCAGCTGCAAAGAGTGCCAGGGCGGGGAGGGAAGGCTCGGCTCAGGCTCTGCCCCTTGGCCGGGCGCTCCCTGCCCCCAGCACGGAGCTCCCCTGCCCGCAGAGCCCTGAGGCCCGGCCAGCAGCCGCTGGGGCCGGGCGCTGGGGGGAGCAGAGGGCTGGGTGCTCCTGGGGAGCCAGGGACTGGGGCTTTGGGGCCGTCCTTACCAGGCACTCGCCAAACCTCCAGGGCTGCTCCATGGTCACTAGGTGCTCAAGATCCCTCCACTTCAGGAACCTGGCTGCACCAAACAGTGCTTCCCGAGAGGCCTGCAGAGCAACAGAGAGCGGGCCATGGCACCGCAGCCCAGGGCACAGGACCCGCATCCCTGCACCAAGGCCAGGAGGAGGCTGCAGGCGACCGTGGGCCAGGGCAGGTGGCACAGCAGCCTCCTGCCATGGGGACACCAGAGCCCACAAGTCCTCACCTCTGCCACACGCTGGTTCTCATCGTGCCAGTTGAAGTAGAATGGCACCAGCCTCAGGTAGATGTGTGGCTTTAGGCTCTTGCTCCTCTCTGTTGCCTGCATCACCTCCCGGAAGAGGACCATGGAGAGCTGCTGCAGCTGGCTGTGCTCCTGCTGCAAAGGAAGAGCAAAAGACCTCAGCCCTGGCTTCTCCAGGCCCACCGGGGCACAGGCCTGAAAAGACACTGGGCCCAAAGTTTCTGGCAGCACTCAGTGCCCACGATGAGGGACACAGAGCCTTACATTGTCAAAGAGTGGCCGCAGCGCCTCAAGCAATTTAAGGGCAGTGGGGCTGGATACTTGGATGACTTTCAAGTGCAGCACATTGATGAACGCAGAGAGGGTCATCTCAACCGCCTCTGTGTCTGCATCCTGCAGTAGCTCCAGGAGGCCTTCATTCAGGCTCCAGATGCTCTTAGCCTGTGTGGAAGACAATGCTGTGGTGCAGCCCCACGCTGCTGCCGCGGGGCCCAGAGGCCAAAGGCGCGTCCCAAAGGAGTCGGGCAGCTGAACGGGGAGGAGGAGAACTGGGAGCAGCTGGCACAGCTGCCAAAGGCCAGCCAAGGCCAAGCTACTGCCTTGCACAGCCGCACGCTGCCGGCCCGGCTTCAGCCCCTGCCCCCTGCTCACCAGTGCGGGAGCCTTGCTGATCACCACCAGGCCTCGGAGCGCCAGGCGACGCCTCTCGGGGCACTCACTGCGCAGGCGCCTTGAAATAACCTGCAGGACGCTGAGCCCGCATTGTCTGGGGTTCAGGCAGTGCAGCACCTGAAAGGCAGGGAGCAGTGATGGGGTGCCCGGCCGGCAGGAGCCCGGACCCGCCCGGGGCTGGGCCCAGGCAGCAGCACAGGGTGCAGGCACCATCCCAGGCGGCTGCGGCTGTGAGAGGGCAGAGAGGGGGAGGCAGCTGGGCCAGGCAGCGCTCGCCATCAGGCTCACCTCCACCAGGAACGCCAGGGCAGGCAGTTCCCACAGGGGCTCTTCCCTGCTGAGCCGCGGGAGCAGGTTGGCGGCGACGCTGCGGCAGAAGGAGTGGGAGACACGGCACAGCTCCCTGCAAGGGGGAATAAAGGCACCAGAGACCCTGAGCCAGGTGGGTAAAGCTCCCCTGGGACACACTCACACAGGCCTGATCTTTGGCCACCAGCCCAGGAGGGGACATGGGCGCTTTGGGAGGTGGCTCCTCCTGTGCAGCCGCCCCTCTCCGCCTTTGCCACTCTGCTCAGCCATCCCTGGCTGCCAAGGCCCTCTGGCCCAGCAGCACGGGCACTGTGTGGGGTGGCCTGTGCACAGGGCAGGAATGCCGGGGGCAGTGGGGGGAAAGGGCTCTCACCTGGCCAGCAGACCCACTGCATAGTGGTGGCTGTCAGCCTTGAGGAGCATGTCCCAGCCACACTTGCGATGGATCACCATCACCACGTCCTCATCCAGCAGCTGGCGCAGCAGGGCTTTGACGGTCTGCACTGCAAACCTGTGTGCAGAGCACAGCCCAGGTCAGGCGCAGAGCCCCGGCCCCAGCCCTGAGGGCGTGGCAGGGAGAGAGGACTGGGATGGAGCACCTGTTGGGGTTGGGGGGAAGGCTGCGCTGCTCCCGGCATCGCCCCCAGAAGGTCTCGACCTCCTCTGACATCTCCTCTGTGCTGATGAAAACTTGGAAGAGCAGAGTCAGAAGGAGGCGGGGCAAATTGGTCTTCACTGCCCCTGGGCACCAGGGCAGCTGGAGGATCTCCCAGAGTGCCACAGTTGCCTGCCAAAGACAAAGCACCCAGAGACAGCTCTCAGGGCCCAGATGTCCATGTGGTAGGGCCCCAGCGTGGCAGGGAGAGGCCAGGGGAGACACAGGGGGATCCCCCGGCCTGCTGGCCCTGAACTTGCCCCTAAGTCAGGGTTGCAGCCCGGTGCCTGGGGCAGGGAGAAGCAGTGGTGAGGGAGGATGAAAAGGCATCCCAGAGGAAAGCTGGGGGTGAGCAGAGGCCAGCTCAATAAACTCACAGCCAGGGCAAAGACATCGCTCTCATCCCCATCCGAGGTGCGTGTCCTGTGCGCTGGCCAGAATTCCAGCGCACGGAAGAGGATCTGCAGCACCGGCTCCTTAGTCCCTCTGGAGGAGATGAGCGTCCTCCACATGGTGCGAGCAGCTCTGTGGAGTCAGAACTCTGGCTCAGGGGGGTCTGGGACACAGCGCTGTGGCCTGGGCATCTGCAGGGCCCAGGTGACAGAGCCACGGTGCCTTGTGGGGCAGGGAGGCAGGCTGGCCTCAGGATTGGGGGCTGGACATGCCAAAGCTGGCAAAGAGAGGAGCTGGAGTGTCCTGGAAGTCTCCATCTCTCTGGCACACCATTTGGGACAGGTTGTGCAGGGGGATGGGGTCTAAAGGCAGGGGAGCCCTCAAGGCAGGTGGGCCCCATACCTGTCACAGGCTGGGGCAGAGCGCAGCAGGGTCACTGCAACATCCACAGGGTGTGCCTCGGTCAGCAGGACAAGAGTCTTGTCCAGCCTGTGCTCAGCCGACACATTGGACGTGAGCCACTGGTGGATGCACCTGACTATGGCCGGCACCTGGAGGGGACACGGGGAACGGTTGGAGAGCTGCCAGAGCCAGCAACTTGACCAGCTTTCCCCAAGAAGTGCTCCCCTTGCCACCACACTCTGCTGCTCTCAAAGGCTGAGGGGGCCCAGCGCAGCCGGCGTGAGGGGCCACAGCATCCCTGGGGCACTGGAGCCCTGGCCACAGGCTGCTTACTTGCTTCCCTGTGTAGACACCGCTCTCCACAAGCAAATCCAGCAGGGCAGCGCTGGTCTGGGCATTGAAGAGGTCCGAGTCTGCCGTGCCCCCAGTGGCCATGAAAGTGGTCTCTTCACGCCAAATGCACCTGATGAATCTGCAAACCAGCTAGAGGAGGAAGGCAAGGAAGAGATGGATGTCCCCTGGAGGGCTGCGACAGCGGTGCTGGGCTGAGCAGTGACAGCAGGCCCAGCCCAGGAGGGGATGGCTGCAGGTACCTGTGCTGCCCTGCGGAAGCGGCCACGGGCACGGAGCTGCTCTTCTGTCCGCTCCTGGCCTGCATCTGGCAAAGAGCGAGCGCGCTCAGAGCTGAGGGTGTGCGGGAGAGGCCGGAGAACACAGCCCAGGCCTGGGCTCCAGGAGCAGGGCCAGCCCCGGGATGCCCAGTGGATGGAGCACGGCTGCTGGGAGATCAGCCCCGGCCCCTCTGTCCCCCTCCCTTTCCCTGGGCATGTCCAGAGGGGATGGGACAGGATGAGGCCAAGGGGGCTGCAGCCACCAGCCCTGTGGCCCAGCTCCAGCACTCACCCTCCTGCGGGGGCTGCACCTGCTGCACCTCTTCAGACTGCTGCGCTGCAGCAGCCCCAGGGCTTTCCTCCTCCTCCTTCTTCCTCCGGAGCAGCCTGAGCAGGCTGAAGCGTCTCCCTGCCATGCCACAGTCTGGTGTCGAGGGCACCTGCAAGAGAGACACCTCGGAGAAGCTCCGGGTCACTAAGTCCTGCAGAATGGCCTTGAGGCCACCTGCCACAGGGATTGGAGACGCCTCGGAGAAACTCCGGGTCTCCAAGTCCTGCAGAAAAACCTCGAGGGCACCTGCCACAGGGATTGGAGACAGCTCGGAGAAGCTCCGGATCTCCAAGTCCTGCAGCAAGGCCTCGAGGGCACCTGCCAAAGGGGTTGGAGACGCCTCGGAGAAACTCCGGGTCTCCAAGTAACGCAAAAAAGCCTCGAGGGCACCTGGAAATGAGAAAATCCTCCAAAACGCTCCGGGTCGGCAAGGCACGAGTCGGCTGCACGGGGGCTCCGCACAGCTCCGCTCTGTCCCGTCCTGTCCCGTCGCCTGCTCCGAGGAGCACTGTTGACACTGTGGCCGTGTCACCAGCAGCACCTCTGTCACCACGGGTCATAAAGGGCCCTTGGACACCCTGCCCCTTCCATCCCACCGGCCATGCCCAGCGTGTCACAAAGGGCCCTGTGACACGGTGCCACCTGGCCTGGGGCCTCCCCCAGCCCGGCCAACCTGCCCCACCTTGGAGGGAATCCACTCTCTGAAGTATCTAATCTGGCTGGACCTGAACTGTGGGAACGGCTCAAGAAATGAGCAAACACTCCCCTCCTGTGCCTGCTCACGGCAGCACAAGTAGCCCCCTCAGCCGCCGACGCAGCCGCAGCGGGAAGGGCACGGGGCCTTCCACACAAGCTGGCACGGCCTCCTTGGGAGAAGTGCTGGCTGGTGGCCATCCTAAACACGGGGGGTGTGACACCGAGAAGGAAGGTGTGGGCAAGGGCACCAATGCTGCTGGCAGCCCTTTGGCCAGGGCTGCACCCAAATCAGCAGCTGTGGCAAGTCCTGGCCCAAAGAGACCTGCCACCACCCCGAGTCCTGGCAAGGGTGCTGCCCGTCTCCTGCCCCAAAGAGCTGTGCCCCCGGGTATTAGTTCGTTTGAATACATGCCCAGAATAAAGACAAGCACAACAGACATTCAAACACTACAAAAAATCTTTTATTGCAGTGAGAATAAAAAACTAGCAAAGAGAATCAAAAGCTCAAAAAGAGTATAAAAAAACTACTTTATCAGTTGGCATTTCTACAATACTATGAACAGCTTTTAATACAGTATTAACCAGTAAAAAGGGAATTAAAAGGATTCCAAAAAAGGATATAAAACATTTGCTTTCTTGGTTGCTTCCCATCAATAAACTGTG